CAGCCGTTGAGCCGATTATCCTGTGGGGTTTTGTTGATGCCTCCTCTTCACTCCTCTGTCAATAGGCATTCTCTCTAAGTTTGCAAAAACAGAACTACACATTAACAGTGAATACGAAAAAAAAAAAAAAGACCGTAATATTCCTACATCAGTGGAAAGTTATTACACTCAGTTAATACTACTAAACCATAGAACGTCAAAATAACGTCAAAAGAACGTCAAAAGAACGTCAAAAGAACATGCAAACCACAAGCACGCCTTACAAGAACTCTCAAAATTAAAATCCATCTGATAGATATATTATTTCCATTACCAATTTAGATTCAATTAACATTATTTTATAAGACATTGTTTCTGAAAGAAATGATTTTTTTTTTCAAATGTTAGTCTCGAAAAATATTATATTATCAATATGCTGTAATTAAAATATTATATGAGCCCTAATGATGCTGCGTCATGATGAATTGAGAACCACTCGCGGATCTTTTTAGAAAAAAAGAAGAAAAAAGGCATGGGTTATGGGTATGAATTTTTCATGCAGTCCATCAAGTTCCATCACTCTCCGTTTCCAGACATGATTAAATTTATATGGATTGTCTGACTTGGTCAACCGGTTCTAATCTGAGACATCAACGCTATTATAGTTTGATTTGTGTCTTTGATGTGCTTAGGGAAAACTCCGGGGAACTTATTTTACATTTAGTGGTAGGATATCTCATAATACCGGTCCCAGTGTACAGAAGGCGGAGGGAAGTAGAGCTCCAATAGTTCTGAGTATTGTCGTATTTAAGCACTGAAGCTACCAAGCTTTATGGGTGTGTGACGTCAAATTGACGTACAACTTACGTGTAAGTGTGTGTGTGCGTGCGTTTGTCTTGATCGGCTAAAATTACAAATATTCTCTAAATAGACTTCTCGCCCTATTTAGAGAATCCACACTTTTGGTCTATTTAAACAGCGTCTGTTAGATTTATTATATTATAGCACTGATGAAATGACAACTGACAAGATCCAGTGTTGTATGAAGTTAAAGGATTTTATTTGACCACCCGACCTACCCATCCCACCTACCAATTCAACCTACACATCTAACCATCCGACCTAACCATCCGATCTACCCATCCGACCTTTGATTCAACCTACCCCTCCGACCTCCATTTCAACCTAACCCATCCGATCACCTATCCTTTTACCCACCCATCGATGAATCTCCCTCTGTCTGATCATCCTTGCACCCTAAAACGAATTCCAATAACTCGACAACAACAATTTTAAGAAGCCAATTTACCCAAGAAAACAATACAATAATAACCATTAGGTAACGTGTCACAATTGCTATTTCTGTGATGGTCATGATGATGACTGACACGATGTCTCATGACCGTTATGTCTCTTCACTCTGCCACGAAATGTGATACAATTTATTAATCTATTTTAAAATGACATAACACAAGTAATATCACGCAGTCTCATATTTCTGTAATAAGTTATTTGAAAAATGTCATCTCGATTGTGTGCATATTTTTTGTTCTGCCCTACATCTGGTTTTCTTCGTCGTCACCGGAAACCTCAGTTGTCTCGCTTGACGTCAAGCGAGGTAACTCACATTTCAATGTTAAGTTTTTCGTTAAATTTTCCAAGGGTTGGTGACAATTTCTCAATATGATTAACTGAAACTCCACACTGGTACATGTAGGGGACATCCCGCCTTGTGGTCGAAAGTGCATCTCATTTATTGTGTAGAATGTTGGTGTTATGACGTCACTGTGGCCTCCGTTCAAATTATGGCTGAAATCGGTGTCAACGGTGTTACAATAGTTGACCACACGAAGGGGTCAAATTGTTGACCAAATGAGGATGTCCAATAGTTGACCCCACGAGAAGGTTCAAAAGCTGACCACACGAGAAGGTCCAATAGTTGACCAAATTAGGAGGTCCAACATTTGACCGAACGAGTTAGTCCAATAGTTGACCAAACTAGGAAGTCCAATAGTTGACCAAACGAGTTCGAGTTCGTCCAATAGTTGACCAAAAGAGGTTATGTATAAATGATGTAGCTATAATGTTGACGTCTGAATGACGCTCAGTGACATAAATCCAACGATGCATGACGCTATTTACCATATTTAAATACTGCTCCATCGTCTGCAACAAACGTTCGGTCTCAATGATACCGTCCTGTGTTGGTTCCGATCGTATCTGACTAATCGGGTCAGTCAGTTATTTCAAACGGCTTGACCTCGAAGAAATCTAATCTCGAATTCGGAGTACCCCAGGGCTCGGTCCTAGGCCCGGTGCTTTTCACGATGTACATTCAGCCCCTGGGTGCAGAGATCAGGAAGTTTGACATGTTGTATCACATGTTCGCGGACGATACACAACTTCATCAATCCGTGATCCCTTCACAGTTCCCTCAGCTGCTCAGTATGACACAGAAGACAATGGAGTCGGTTAAGCACTGGATAACCATTAACAAGCTCAAATTAAATGATGATAAGACTGAGCTGATCCCCATTGCCACCGATCAGAAGCAAAAATCTGCAAATAACACGACATCCATTACTCTCTCAGGTGTGCGTATTGAGTTAGCTCAAACAGTGCGGTAGAAGACTAACTTTTGAAAGTCATATTAACATGCTATGCAAGGCGATTTTTCTGGTGTTGCGCAGGATTAGTCACATCATGCCCTTCCTAACAATTGATACAACAAAGAGGCGGATGTCTGCATTTGTGCTATCACGCATGGACTATTGCAATGCTCTCATGGTGGGTCTTCCAGCTACGCTCCTGGATAAAAATCAAATAGCACAGAATAATGCGGCTCGCATTGTTCTCCGCAAACGCAAGTTCGACCATGCAAAAACACTTCTGAGAGAGTTGCATTGGCTGCCGGTGTGTGCTCGCATAGAGTACAAAATCGCAACTTTGTGCTACCGCTGCTTACATGACCTGGCGCCGTCCTATCTGAAAGAGCTGCTGACGCCTTATGTACCCACTAGAGAGCTCCGCTCATCCGATAGTGGCAAACTCTCGACACCACGTGTTTGCCTTGAGACTTACGGAAAGTGCACTTTCGCATTTGCTGGTCCAACAATTTGGAACGCCCTTCCTGTCCATCTCAGAAACAACCAGACAGTGGAGCCCTTTAAAACTGATCTAAAGATACATCTATTTCGCCAACACCTTCTGGGATGATTGTCTACCTTATTATCCAGTTAATGCATAATGGCTGTGTTGCTCAGGGTTGAAATGGCTTGAAAGACTTTGACATTGTATGCTTGTAATTAGTTTTGTAGTGTTGCGTTTGTTTTAAATGTCATAAATTATAGATTTGTTTTTTGTTGACTTTGTGCCGTGCTTCGAGCCTTTGGGGATGAAGCGTGTTTTTGAAATGAACATTATTATTATTATTATTAAAATACATCCGTTACCCGAGCCGTTAATTTGTGTCCGTCTGAGGAACCTGGTTGTCTTTCCTTGGATTGGAATAGACGTTAGAAGCGTTACTGGACAATGTTACATCGAATTAACGTTTTTTTAACATATCTTGGAAATAATTGTACGAAAACAAATTTTATCTTCAATTAGAAGTGCTAAGTGCATGTTAAATAAATAGTGACATTAGATGTGTTTGGTCTTGGAAAAAAAAAATTAAAAAAACATTTAAAAAAAAAAATATATATATATAAGGCGAGAGAGAGGGAGAGAGAGAGAGAGAGAGAGAAAACAAATAAAAGGACGATTATAGAAAAATTGACTACTATTACAGACAATAAAAAACAAGAAATAAAAAATGATTTGAGATTAAAAACTCAATTGGTCCCAGGGCACAATGTTTCTCTCCTTTTTTTTAAAATATCTTGGAAATAATTGTACGAAAACAAATTTTATCTTCAATTAGAAGTGCTAAGTGCATGTTAAATAAATAGTGACATTAGATGTGTTTGGTCTTGGAAAAAAAAAAATAAAAAAACATTTAAAAAAAAAAAATATATATATATAAGGCGAGAGAGAGGGAGAGAGAGAGAGAGAGAGAGAGAACAATTAAAAGGACGCTTATAGGCAAATTGCCTTCTTTTACAGACGATACAAAACAAGAAATAACAAATGATTTGAGATTAAAAACTCAAGTGGTCCCAGGTCACAATGTTTCTCTCCCACATGAGTGTGCGGTTCAATGTTGCTCTCCCACATAAGTATGTGGTTCAATGTTGCTCTCCCACATAAGCGTGCGGTTCAATGTTGCTCTCCCACATAAGTGTGTGGTTCAATGTTGCTCTCCCACATAAGTATGTGGTTCAACGTTGCTCTCCCACATAAGTGTGAGGTTGTTGCTGTTTTTTTTTGTTGCTGTTTTTTTTGTTGTTTTTTTTCAGGGTGGGGTGTGGTGTTAGTATTTCAAAAAGTTAATGATTAAATATCTGTAACCGTTGGGATAAGCCCTGGTTTGGGAGTGGGGGGGGATATTTCAAAAACTAAATAGTGACAAATCTCTCTCATCTTTGGGATACGTTCAAGAAGACGACTGTCTTTATTTCCCAAGCTGCATATTTTCCATTGGCACCAACCCTTCACATCTGAAACAATGCCGTCCGAAATATTGCAATCTTCTCCCTTCACACGGAACCCGGATTTTAAAACCATAACATCACAACAACACAACAGCAGACCTTTTTTTTTTCTCTCCCTGTCGCAGACGTAAAGCCCCCCCCCCAGTCTCCCTCCCACGACACTTAACCCCTCTCTCCCTGTCGCAGACGTAAAGCCCCCCCCCCCCAGTCTCCCTCCCACGACACTTAACCCCAACCACCCCACACTCCCTACACTGCGACTGTCACAACCCCCCATTGCCTTTCAGCCCTCGCTGTCCTCTCGCTCGCCGCACAGTGTCCTTCGAACGGTCGTCTCTTTTGATTGGTCGCTTCTTTTTTTTTCCCCCTTGTATTCCCGTAGACCTTGGTGAAAGGTATATAAGACTTCAGCTGCGAGGCCAAGACTTCAGATGGCTATCTGCCGATCACAGCTCTTACACTAACAAAAAAATCAACATCAACCTGAATTCGCTCTAAGTGTTCAGTTATAGACTTTCACGTTGCAACAAAATATTTTTTTTGGATTACATTGTGTGTTTTCAAGTGTTGAAAATTGCTTCTACATTGAGACTTATCATGAAGATGGCCGATGTTTCAGACAAGCACGTACACTGCGCTATGCTCGGTGACGGCATGGTTGGCAAAACGTGCCTGACTCTGTCCTATACTGAAAAGTCTTTTACAGAAACGTACACAGCCACTGTCTTCGACAATTATCCAGGTAATTATCTTTTTTTTTATATATATTTTTTTTTACAATTCTCTGTCTATCGTCTGTTTTGTTCTCATATCTCATGTTCAGCATTTCAACCAATCATCTATACTTGGACTTTTTGTCTTTTGTTTCGTTCTTATATGATTTAATGTCCGTAAATCCTTTAATCTATCTAGACATTTTCTACATTGCATCTTTAGACCCATTGTATCTTTATTTTTTGTATTGCCTATTCCTATTTTGTATTTCTTTTTGTTTTGTTAAAATTGTTTCGGTGTTTAATGAAGACCAAATGACATGAACAGTTTTTGTAACAATTGTGTTTTTCTTTATTTTTTTCAGTGCCCCTTCAAGTTGGTGGCCAGGATTTCATCATCAGTCTTTTTGACACCGCTGGCCAGGTAAGCATCTTTTCTTTGACGTAATGGGTGTCTGTATATCAGACGGCAGTCGTGATTAGCTCGCGCTCAGGGCGCGCGCTGGTGACACGAAAATCGATACGGCGTTAAAACAACACGAAAAGGGCAGGGCAGGACAGGGGCAGGGCAGCGCCGAGGATACATCGTGCAGAAAACAAAAGGTCATAAACACGAGTGACGTAAACGACAGGCGTAAACGAAAGACAGTCCAAGTTACACCTTTGGACGTATTCATCTTGACGTACTTAGGGGTATTACAAGCCTGCCAGAGACCAATTTCAATTATCAATTCAAAGGAAGACTTGTCGTTATGGGGTAAACCTGCATGCGGATTTGATTTTAGTATTGATAATTTATTTGGTCTCGGTGATGAAATATGTTCTTCTTAAAACACTTAATGTTATGTCTAGAAGTAGCCACGGCAGAACTTATCCAAATGGTGTAATATCTCATGTTGTGTGATAACACTGGGGTGGTGTATAATTTCTATGAAAATCGCATCCCTATAGCCTCTCCCCCCCCCCCCAGGCCACAATTCGTCACTCTTACCTCACCAGACGGAACAGATATAAATATGACAATAAAACCAGCCCGGCTTGACGACACTTTGACCACTCTAATGTGAGACGTGCACAGGTCGAGCCGTGATGTATCGGGGCGGTTGGGACAATACCTTTATGCAACCTTTACACGCGCAGACGACTTCATTGTTGACATTAATCGTTATCGATTAAATCAAAACAACTTTTTTTTTTTTTTAATACTGTTTTGCCCTTTGGCTTGTTCTCACATATCCCTTAACGTGCCATTATAGTTTGTGTGGTCCTTTTATGTAGCTATATTCATAACTTTGTTTTAGTATAATAACTTCTTGCAGTAAACCCATATTTTCAACCCAGGCTTTTTCCTTTTCTGTCTTCCCCAGAGTGATTTTGAAGACCTTCGCGCATACACGTACAAAGAGAGCGAGGTGCTGGTGCTTTGCTTCTCCGTCATCGACCGCGACTCCTTCTCCAGCGTTTGCAACTCGTGGATTCCCGAGATCAAGCGCCACACCAAGCGCAGACGCCCCGTCATCCTCGTAGGCACCCAGATCGACATGAGGAACGGCAACGAGGGCGAGGTGTCCACCGAGGAGGGCGAGGCCATGGCAAAGGCCATCGGCGCCGACTGCTACATCGAGTGCTCGGCCAAGAGGAAGGACGGTCTGAAGGAGGTGTTTGAGCACGTCGTGTTCTCCGCGCTCAAGTTCAGGAAGAAGAAGGTCAACATCATCGGCCGTTTCTTCTCTCGATGAACGATACGAGCATCAAACATGAACAAACAAACAAACAATCGTGAAACTTAATCTCCATGGCAACGCTTCAGCTCTGAATAAACATTATTGCCAAGAATGCCGGAGACGGAGGTAGACATGGTTTCGACGATAGAAACCTGACATTTGATGCCTTAGCTTTAGCCAAGCTTCACCTCTGACAAGTGGACTGTGACCAACGGAGGGGCAGTCCCCGCTCCCCTCTGATGACGAGACCGCCTGAGCCCTCAGGCCATCCCAGGCCCCTGGGCTTTCAGTGAGTTGGTCCTGCTCCATGCATTTCCGGAATTGAAAGAACGACCCCAGGTCGGTGACGGGATCACTGGCCTGTAGAACTTTGCTCATTTTAAAAACAAAAAGACTTGCCTCATCTTGTTCTGCTCATGTGTGCCAATGTTTGCTCTGTAACTTTTTTAAGGTGTGCATATCTTTTTACATCTATATCTTTTACTGTAAGTGTCTCTTCCTGGTGTAACTTAACATTTTGAGGAAAACCTTTTCTAAAACAAAACATTACTCAAGCGTGTCCATATGATCAATCTTTCAAACACGTGACGTTGAAAAAAAAAATGTTAATGAAGATTTTGTATTTAGACTTGCATTTTTCTGTTTAAAAAAAAAACTGCGACTCTTTTTTAGACCTTCAGTCTTGATGTAAACTTTACACAAGCGACGACACGGCCATGACTGACCAGCTCACTACCCTTGCCTTGACCACTGCCTTATTGTTAACATGTTACCTTGCCTTCATCCCCATCTTTTTTGACGCTCTTGACTTCTACACAGAACTGTCATATGTGACAAATATGTGAGACACATCCTGACATGACCTTGTGGCGCAGCACCACGCTAACACGAACTTCACCTGTCTGAGACAAAAAAACAAGCGCTCGTGCGGCAGTAACTGACATTAACTGCCTGTCACCCACTGCCAAGGACAGGAAAATGAGCATTTATGTCAATGACATCCTTTTTTTTTGTCATGAACACTTAACATCTGACTGACAGTTTATTGATTCGTGTCACTGACAGTTCCATTCGCCAAAGCCAATACCTGAATCTCATGAGTGACCTGTACGGTGTCTTTGAAACGTGATGATTCTGGCTGAATGTTTTCGAAGAACTAATTGTCGCTTTCATGAACGCTTTATGGTCTTTTACAAGGACATTTTGCCACTTGATGTACACTTATGAAATACCGTCCAAAACATGTGTTTTATTACTCCCCATAGGTGTTAAATGTTAAACTGCTTGAATGAGTGCCCCTGCATGAACACTAACAATCTTTTTTGTGTGAGTGTGTGATTGAATGTTGTCGAATACACGTGTAAGAATTTTGAGTCGACATCGCCTTATGTGTACTTGTTATGACCGTGTGAATTGCACTGATCGATTATTCAGTATTAATTACAGTATTAGTATCGATTCAGATGTGCTCGTTCGTCGCCTGGCGCTGGTATCGCCAGGGAGAAATAGCAGCGATCGATACTCGGTCCTCCTTTGAGAGCAGTGTTATTGATTGGCTATGTTGTTTTGAATGTGAACGTGTGTTATTTAATGCTTTGTTTGAGATTTTCCCGTTTACAACTTGAAATGCTCGTGATAAACAAAAATCGTGATGAGAAATAATTGTGAGAAAGAGGAGAGGGGTGGAAAAATAAGATTATCGCTATTCTACGTATTCGATTATGTGCACTCAATTTGATGACGTCATTCGTTGTTTATGTCATCTCTATTTAATCGTCGTCTGTGGAGCAAGCGATGTTGTTGGGCGCACGTAATCTACAGATACCACTCCAATGGTGTCTTTCAGATCACTGCGCTCCAAAGTAAAAACAAAAGCTTTTTTTTTGGGGGGTGTGATTTGATCTGAGTGCAATACTCACTTTTGGTGTTCATTTGGTGCAATATTGTGACATCTGGTGCTTAAGCCCGTTACCATTCATAATATTAACATGTTTTATACAATGAAGATAATGTTGAAAATAAAATAACGGATCTAAACAGACTCAAATATCTTTGTTTTAATTGTTGCATATGTGTTTTTATACAATTTTTATTATATATACACAAAAAAAAATTACTTTAGTTTTGAAAAGTTTTGTTAGAATTGTTGTTTTGTTGTTTAGCTTTGTTTGGTTTGGGGGGGGGGGGGGGGGGGGGGGGGGTGGGGGGTGGCATCGGGGTATTCGAGAATGTTACATGTTCAGAGAAGGCATAAAAAGTTTAAATTGATGCTGCAGTGATGCCAGCAGACTCATGAGTAGCTCTGAGGCTGATTGAAGCTGGTGTCATCTACTACATGTCTAACAGAGTAAGATATTAGGAACTGAGTGTTTACAATAAATACAGAAGGGCTTGTAGACGAATTCAATCAACGCCTTACTAAGACCGGAATCACAAGATTCGTACAAGACAGCACGGAACTTTTAGACAATGGGGAGACAAACTATGAATGATTCGTACTCGGTGTACAAGACATCGTTGTTGACTCTTGAATTGTGGTTTTTAACAAACCAAAACTTTAGAATGATGCTTTAAATGACAGACTCCACAAATAAACATGGCTCATGCTGTACTCTTGAATTATGGTTTTTAACAAACAAAAACTTTAGCATGATGCCTTAAATGACAAACTCTACAAATGAAATATGGACCAAGGTGTTTTCTCTTTAATTTTTTTTTAAAAGCATCAAAAGATTAAGACCTCAGAACACAATCAACATACAGCTCTCTGATGCTGTGACACAATCAACATACAGCTCTCTGATGCTGTGACACAATCAACATACAGCTCTCTGATGCTGTGACACAATCAACATACAGCTATCGCATGCTGTGACACAATCAACATACAGCTCTCTGATGCTGTGACACAATCAACATACAGCTCTCTGATGCTGTGACACAATCAACATACAGCTCTCTAATGCTGTGACACAATCAACATACAGCTCTCTGATACTGTGACACAATCAACATACAGCTCTCTGATGCTGTGACACAATCAACATACAGCTCTCTGATGCTGTGACACAATCAACATACAGCTCTCTGATGCTGTGACACAATCAACATACAGCTCTCTGATGCTGTGACACAATCAACATACAGCTCTCTGATGCTGTGACACAATCAACATACAGCTCTCTGATGCTGTGACACAATCAACATACAGCTCTCTGATGCTGTGACACAATCAACATACAGCTCTCTGATGCTGTGTTAAAGAGAATATTTCAACGCATTTTTCTCGGTGTCTCTTTAATATTAAACTTTGACTACATCGTATAGTTCATTTAGTTACTGGGAAATTCAATAAGATGCTGAGATTGGCAGGAGCTGAGCAGTGTTGAGCTGGAAGAGTAGAGAATGATCAGGAGCAGTGGAATGTGAGCTGGAGCAGTAGAGTATGAACAGGAGCAATGGAGTATGAGCAGAAAAAATGGAGTATGAGGTGGAGCAGTGGAAGGGGATATGGACCCGTGGAGCATGATCTAGAGCAGTCAAGTATAAGCAGGCTCATTGAAGAGTTAGCTGAAGCAGTAGAGTATGAGCTGGAGCAGTGGAGTATGAGCTGGAGCAGTGGAGTATGAGCTGAAGCAGTGGAGTATGAGCTGAAGCAGGGGAGTATGAGATGAAGCAGTGGAGTATGAGCTGGAGCAGTAGATTATGAGCTGAAGCAGGGGAGTATGAGATGAAGCAGAGGAGTATGAGCTGGAGCAGTAGATTATGAGCTGGAGCAGTAGAGTATGAGCTGGAGCAGTGGAGTATGAGTTGGAGCAGTAGGGTATGAGCTGGAGCAGTGGAGTATGGGCTGGAAGCAGTGGAGTATGAGCTGAAGCAATGGAGTATGAGCTGGAGTAGTGGAGTATGAGCTGGAACAGTGGAGTATGAGCTGGAGCAGTGGAGTATGAGTTGGAGCAGTGGAGTATGAGTTGGAGCAGTGGAGTATGAGTTGGAACAGTGGAGTATGAGCTGGAGCAGTGGAGTATGAGCTGGAGCAGTGGAGTATGAGTTGGAGCAGTGGAGTATGAGCTGGAGCAGTGGAGTATGGGTTGGAGCAGTGGAGTATGAGTTGGAGCAGTGGAGTATGAGTTGGAGCAGTGGAGTATGAGTTGGAGCAGTGGAGTATGAGTTGGAGCAGTGGAGTATGAGTTGGAGCAGTGGAGTATGAGTTGGAGCAGTGGAGTATGAGCGGAGCAGTGGGGTATGATCAGGGGCATTGAATTATTTGCTGGAGCAGTGGAGTACGATCAGGAGAATTGAATTATTAGCTGAAGCAGTTGAGTATGAGCAGGAGCATTGATCTATTAGCTGAAGCAGTGGAATACGAGCAGGAGCATTGAATTATTAGCTGGAGCAGTGGAGTACGAGCAGGAGCATTGAATTATTAGCTGGAGCAGGGGAGTACGAGCAGGAGCATTGAATTATTAGCTGAAGCAGTGGAATACGAGCAGGAGCATTGAATTATTAGCTGAAGCAGTGGAGTACGAGCAGGAGCATTGAATTATTAGCTGAAGCAGTGGAGTACGAGCAGGAGCATTGAATTATTAGCTGGAGCAGTGGAGTACGAGCAGGAGCATTGAATTATTAGCTGAAGCAGTGGAGTACGAGCAGGAGCATTGAATTATTAGGTAGAGCAGTGGAGTACGAGCAGGAGCATTGAATAGCTAGAGCAGTGGAGTACGAGCAGGAGCATTGAATTATTAGGTAGAGCAGTGGAGTACGAGCAGGAGCATTGAATTATTAGCTAGAGCAGTGGAGTACGAGCAGGAGCATTGAACAGCTAGAGCAGTGGAGTACGAGCAGGAGCATTGAATTATTAGCTGAAGCAGTGGAAAATTGAATGAAATATATCAATTAAATTAATTCAATTCAGACGTCAACGATTTTATGGAACGTCTATATTATCTTCGTATGATGCAGTCCGACGTGAATGACTGAATGATACGTGGTGAGAAAACAACACCTTTTACTTTACCACGTTAACAATGTGGAGGCAAAATTTATATATATATATATATATATATATATATATATATATATATATTTATATATTATATATATTTCACGGCGAATGTTTAAATGTGTGGAATAGAACACAGAATAAAGTTGTTGTTTTTTTTCTTTCTTTTGGTATGATTTCATGGGTTATGAAGTCCACTATAGAGCCCAATACCAGGGATCGTTAAAATGTGCGTGTTCCATGCACCAATTTAACAATCATATGAATGCCACGAACCTGTACTTGGAGCAAAGTTTTTTTTTTGTTTTTTTTAATCATATCATAAAATAGCGATGGTCATACAGATCGTGGTGTTCAAGGGGTCTGTCAACCACAGTTTAAGGATCCCTACCCTATAGCTTATTTACATATTTAAAAAAACTACACTTTGCATGTATATGATTTTGATTTCATTGTATTACTTGCATGCAATGGCGTGCTAATTATTCGGTATGCTTACATCCCTGTTGGTAGGTTGAAATGTCTTCCAAGATAACCTATATGTCATTATTGAACAGACCTACTTGTTAGCATGGACTGAACTATATGTCGAATGGGCAGACCAACGTGTCATCATGAACATACCTCCATCTAATTATGGACAAATTTACATGTCATCAAGGACAGAAGTACACCAACATAGATAGACCCACATCTCATCATGGGCAGACCTACGTGTTATTATGGGCACACCTATGTGTCATTATGGGCAGACCTACATGTCATTATGGGCAGACCTCCGTGTCATTATGGGCACACCTGTGTCATTATGGGCAGACCTTCATGTCATCCTTGGTAGACCTACAAGCCATTAGGCGCAGACCTACGTGTCATTATGTACAGGCCTACGTGTCATTGTGGGCAGAGTTACATGGGATCATGGACAGAGTTACACGTCATCATAGGCAGAATTACACTGACATAAACAAACCTACATGTCATCCTGGAAAGACCCTCTTGTTGAAAGACCTACTTGTCATTATGGACAGACCTACATTTGATCACGGAAAGACCTACTTGACGTTATGGACAGATCTACATTTCATCATTGACGGACCTAACTGTCATCAAGAATAGACCTATATGGCATTATGGATAATCTACAGGTCTACACGGACATACCTATTTGTCATCTTTAGGAGACCTGCATATCATCAACATTTTGACCGCATAGACAACATTTTTTTTTCCTCTACACATATTTTGCTTCAATATAGTTTAAAGAAAAACAATCCCTCTTAACGTTAGCCATATTTCAGAATATGCACGTCTGTACAATAAAGCTGAAAAGAAAGAATTACCCTTTCTTGGAATCCCGTGATCCAAAGGTCAGATCGACTGATTTGACCAGTTCTCTTCGTTCAGGATTGTAACGACGCGGGTGAGGTCAACTCCGGCCAACTGGGTGCAAGGTCACCTCATCCCCCACCATTCTGATTAATGGATCAACTTCATTTATTTCAATTAAACAACCCAGCCAATTAATTGGCAGTAACGGCCGTGTATTTAGAACGCTTGTGCCCAACGTCTCGGGACAATGATTGCTCCATGAATATTTATGGGTGAGAGCCCCTTCCCCAAGAGCGCAACTGGTTCAAGTGAAGGGTTGTATTTAATGGATCACTGTTTCGTCCCATTTTTTTTTTTTTGTTTCGAGTTTAACTTCATTGAGTTGTTTCTTACAAAAATCCGACTCGAAAATATCCCCGAAATGCCCAAAACTTGATCCAGGCGTCCAGAGAAGATGCTCATTTAAATATCACGGCCCCGGAGAATATTTATAACAAATCAAACTTATTTTCGTCTCCGAGCAGAAAACCTTGAATAATACTTTGGTTCAACAAATATTTTTTTTTTTTTTTTTAAATTAGGAAAGATTGATATCAACGTCTTGTTGTTATTTGAGGAACAAAAGTGTAAAAAAAACTGTTTTAAAAAATAACTGAAATAAGGGATTGACTCCAAGCAGGCGACATTCACGTTAACACCCAAGTAC